ATATATATATATATATATATAATATTACCGATTTAAGTTACAGTTTGGTTATTAGTTCATTTTGATTACACCTACGTAGTACCTTTTTTTTGGTATCGGGCGGAAATCTTCGTAAGATACCCTGCCTTTTGGGGGAAAGACAGGGTTATGTGAGATTCTTACTCACTAAAACCCTCTCGGTGGCCAACCTCAAGTGCGACTGCGAGGGTCCCGGGATCTCCAAAGGAACGCACCGGACCCCTCTGCACTACACCTATGTAGTACCTACCAACAATAAGAAATATAAAAGTGTGAGGGATCACAGGACCATGAAAAACATGGTCTATATATGGTATTCTGATACAGCTGTTGATTGTCTATTGCATGCATTTGCATCGTGTAGTTTTGATAACTAAGTGTAAAGTGTGTTAGATAAACTAATGTAAGTACTCTCAGTGCCGGCTTGTTGTTATTGTAGCACTGTGATAGGTATGGTAATATCAGACTGAGACTGACCTTTGGATCCTAGAGATCTACGATGAAAGTAAGGCTTCGAAAGAGTGACGGAGAGGGCTGCAAGGAAGCCAAACAAACTTACAATACGCGTAGAGGCAAGTGGCCATAAACATGTCTCACCGTCTGGAGGGAAGCCGTAAAGTGAAGCCGATGGGCCGCGGGGTCTGCCGGCCGGGGGACAGGGAGCAATTAAAGACGACACGTGGAGGATGCGCAGAAACGAAGCCACAACACCGCCCCCAACCCTCACCCACCCGCCTTTCCCCTTTCCGCCGTTTTATATCAAATGAAAAAGCTAAATGTTAAAGTAGTAAAGGTAATCATGAAATAATTAAAGTTATTTGGGTCGTTGTCAATAACAATACTTGATAGGTTTTTGAGCCCATACTCCGCTAGCCGTCGGCAAACGTGCCGCGGCCCTCTTGAACTGTCCAATACTCAGTTATCGCAGGAGGAAGGCCGCGGACTGTCACAGCATTCCCCAATTTATCTCTAATTTGAACAAATTAAAATCAAAAGCGATCTACTGCTTTAAAATGAATTCTCTAGGGGTTTGGACTTTAGCAATAATTTTGTATCAGAGTAAGTAGAATTTTATTAGACACAAATGTCAGGCGCAATTATTCAAATTACTTTTAAGGTAGATACCGAAAGGATTCATAGAATATTGAATAAAAATTATTGTATTAAGGTGTTGTCGTTGACCTATTTCTACTAAATATCAAATTTCAATAATTTTCCGTAACAATCCATCGACAATAGCCACGAAAACCTCAAAGGAGCACAAGGTGCAAGCCTCGGTGAAGGACGGCAGCTTCGCCACATTCATGTTGTAATGTGTGTGCGTGCAGCGGTAGCGTGCGCGGTGGTGAGCTGGCTTACGCTGAGCTGCCGACTGGCGCCGAGCGCGGGCGAGCTGGCCGAGCTGACGCTGCTCAAGCTGGTATACCTGTACGAACCGCGCGCCTGCGCCGCGCCCGCGCTCTACAACTACACAGTGCGCTCCGCCGCCGGCACCCCGGTCGCCGCGCTCGTCTGGCCCGCGCACAGTCCGCCCGCCGCCGCCTTCCGCAGGTGAACTGCAGTTCCTCCTCCACCTCACTCGAATTAATAATATAAAACCGGCTTCCTTAATCGTATCCACGAATTGCCTTATTTAAAAAATTTTCGGTTTCGAATGTTATTTTGCGTCCATTTGGCAGCAAGTTGCAGGTGTGGCTGGGCCTGCACGTAGCTTGGTTGGCGCTCACAGCGGCACACACGGCGCAGCGCCGGCGGCCGTGCGCACTGTGCGGCGCGGCGCTGCCCGCCTGCTGCGCCGGCGCTGCATTGCTTCTCG